TCCCATTTCCATTTTGCATTCCTTACCAGTCATAATGAGTATTTACTCAGTTTAGTAGTTTCCCTTTGACAATTTCTTGTCACACAGTTAACTATGACAGACTATGAGAGTAGTTTGAATGTTTTTGCTGGTTATTTCATTTATAATAAAATCTGGTTTATGTCTGAACTGTGTATATTGTACTGTATGTTTATTTTTTGCAGCTGACAATGCCCAGTCCAATGCCAGAGTACCTTAATGTACACTACATCTGTGAGTCAGCATCACGACTACTTTTCCTCTCTATGCACTGGGCTAGGTCCATACCTGCATTTCAAGCTCTTGGGTAAATGGACATATTCTGTTGAATGATTTCCTTTCTAATGACTTTAAGCACTGATCTAAACACTTGTCAGCTTTTTTTAATTTTTAAATGATGGTATTGTCTAATTTTTAATTAATTCTTTAAAATGTGTGAAGACTATGCAATATTCTCCTTCTTGAACAATAAAATAGAAGATGGCAGAGGAGGGGGATAACTACAATATCTGATGTTACTGCGGTTACAGAAGCTAAAGCTGAATCAAAAACAAGCATTTAATTTGTAGAAATATATCTTGGTAAAGAACTGGTGAGCACCACTCTACAGAAAACCTGAAATGGTTTCCTGTAGTTGGCCTATCACTTCTTTTTCCTTTTTGAAATATGCTAGTATATGCCTTTTAGTAAAGTGGTTTGGAATACATTAATCCTTATTATTAATTGTTATAATTAATATAATTACACATAGGGCAATACCAACCTGATATGAAAACTACCCACAGTTGTATGATTTTCTGTTGTTTATAGGCAGGACTGCAATACGAGCCTTGTGCGTGCCTGCTGGAATGAGCTGTTTACCTTAGGCCTGGCACAGTGTGCACAGGTGATGAGCCTGTCTACTATCCTAGCAGCTATTGTCAACCATCTCCAGAACAGCATACAGGAAGGTACGTTTTCAGTGTGTGATTCTTATAGGTCTTCAGTCCTGTCAACACTACAGGGACATTTGTATAACATTTCTTACGAGGCATTTCCTAAGTGGTGGCAGAATTGTTTCCCAGGATCCAGAGGAAGGAGAAGCCTTCTCTTGCATAATTACCTTTCCTCTGGTGATCTACAACTTTTGTTGCACTGACCTCACAGAGATCTCTGTGGGATAGGAGTGTCCATAGAAGAAATGAGGATAAGGCTGGAGAACATATTCTCTTGTCTTCTATATCTGGCTGGCAGTATAGAGAAAGACAAGTACATTCTAAAGTTGGCTGTGCTCACAGAGCTTCCCTCCCATCCAGATGTGTTTTTTTTTTTCTCTTAGAATAATGAGGAGGTCTTCCAAACCACACCAGATTTTTTTGCTTTCAGAACTTTCCTTCTCCTCTTGTCAGTGTAAAACTATAGCATTTGCCAAGTATCACAAGCATATTCTTGCAAGTATAATGGTTTTGGATACCGCTATAGTGCAGTAATGATTAATGTATTTTGAAGTACCCTCCAAAGCATTAAACAACCTCTTTTGTTGACACTCTTTAAGAAGACTTATGTAATTTTATTTTTTAAATTCAGTGTTGGCCTGTTGATAATGATGACTATCTAGAATGGATTACAGTCTGTTATGGTTGCTTTTTTTCATTCTTTTCTTTAAGAATGCTCTCAATCAATATGATTGATTAGCATGAAAATAACTGCATTTTTAATAGGAAAAAAACAATACTGGAGCTTTAAACTCTGCAAACACAGCATATTACATGAAAGCTAGCTTAAATTTAAATGTGAGTTAGAAGTAGTTACAGAATGCTATTTGGTACCAATCTGTTTGATGATTTTTGTGGTGTCATTATTGTGCACACAGCAAAAATTAGAAAATACGCTTTTAATGAGGAGAGTAAAACTTGATTGTAGAACTATAAAATGTACAAAAATAGATAATCTGAAAAAAATGTTTAATATCCTTCAGTCCTAGTAAAGTACATTTGTTTTAATCTACTTTATTAGCTTCACTGTGATAAAGTAAATTAGAAATTTGATTCTTAAATGAATAGTATGCTTTCATAATGAGTATAGTTTGTGGTTTTTTGAGGGGCTTTTTTTTTTTAATTTAAGAGAGCCTAGACAGTCCTCAAAATACAACAAACTGACGCTCCTTTCCTGCACAGAGAGAGAGGTGAGAGTTTAAAAGACCAATAGGGAAACATGCACATTGTATGTTCTCCACAGGGTTAGGCTTTTACTTGTATCTCTGTCAGAATAAATAGAGCTGTCTATTCCACCTACATCCCAGGCGCTGAGTTTGTGGAGAAGTGATGGGGCTATTACATTCTTAAGCTGGCTCCACTTCTATTCCCATGTCTCAAAAAAGAAAAAAATTAAATTTGTTCTACAACCTGTACTTCCAGTCATACTGTGTTACCTGAGACTGGCCAAGAAAAGAGGATGATTTGTTTTGTCTATTCTGCAAAGTTATCATATTATATTGTGTACTATAACTTTAAAATTCAAAACAAAGTGAAGACATTTCAGAACTTTATCTAGGAAGCATATTAGTGATGAGGCTATTTGGAAACTCTGGAATTCAAGCTCACTTTTTCTGAGTATTTCTGCACCATTGTTTCCCACAATACAGAAATAAAAACATTACATCATGTCTACCTTGATCCATCTTGAGTAACTAAGAACTCGTATCACAATTCATGTATTTTAGAAATGTAGATTGTGCTTTCATTCTTATTTTAAGACATCGTGCAAAAAATGTTTCTTCTGTTCAGTCTTTTTACTGCAGTTTCAGAAAATATGTAAAATAATTATAAATTACATCAAAGATTCAGTTTAAGGCACACGGGCCTAAGCAATCATATACACTATTAGCTGTGCAGACAAAGGTAAAATATTTAAGTTACAATGATATGAAATACTAGCATTAGAGATCATGACTGGAATAAAAGGATTCTAATGTGTCTCTCAAGAAAAAGTTTTATCCCTTGTGAATTGACTTACCTCTGAAGTTTGATAGTAGTAATTATATATTCAAAGATTTGTCTTAATGTAATGTCTAAGGTTTTCATTCTTTGACTAGTCTGCAGATATGCAGAGAGAAGCTATATTTACCAAAATAGAAATACCTCTCTCCCTAGCTGAGCAGCTAATACCCTCAATTGTAACTTACCCACAAATAATATAAGATCTTTTTTTAATTGACATTTTAAGAAAGAATATGAAGCCAACATAAGGAATGTGATGTTTCAAATGATGGAAGAATCTGTGGACGTGTATTTGAGTAAATTTACCCCTTTGGAAGGAAAAAAAGACTACCACAGTAAATGAAAAATTCACTTCTAAAAGTACAGATAGAGGAAAAAGTAGCACTGTCATTATTGCTCTTGCATTCTCTTCTGGAAAACCTAACTCAATACCATTTGAATTTAAAATCAGGATTGCATGATTTGTTTTGTGCTTCTGTTCGTTCCCAGAATCACTAGCCAATTGTAGAATAATTCACCATAATTTGAAAGCCTGCTCAGAACAGTATATCACTGGAATAATAGTGGTGTTGCAGATTATGCTGTACTGGCAAAATTATGAAAGAGTTCTGTTTGCTAGCCCTATGTCAGACTCAGCTTTATAAATCTACATTTCCATAATCATTCAGGCCATCCTTATATGTTAAGTGGTTTTAAGACAGCAAATGACACAAAAGACTTGGTTTTATAAAAGGATATTGGTTAATATATCAGATATACTTGAGCTCACATAAAATAGCAAGCAATATCTTTTTGTAGATAAACTTTCTGGAGACAGAATAAAGCAAGTCATGGAACACATCTGGAAACTTCAGGAGTTCTGTAACAGCATGGCCAAGCTTGACATTGATGGATATGAATATGCATACCTTAAAGCTATAGTCCTCTTTAGCCCTGGTAAGGAATTTAGTAACCATATCTTTTTTAAATGATAAGTATTCGTATGTTAATGTTTTAGCAGTTTTTTTAATGAGACTGTGTCTTGAGATGAGACTGATCTGTTAAGCTGCAGATAAAATGATTGTTTCATGATGGTTCATCACAAACAATATGTGTTTTAAAAATAACTTTGGAGCAACATATCCATGTTATTTACAGTTCCAATATATCAGGAATTTCCTGTGCACCCACCTTAGAAGACTAGACTCTCAATTACTTTCATCTGAGACTATGAGTAATAAGTTATCTGGGATGAAGTAAATGGCAGCAAGGATTAGAGGAAATATATTGTCACAGTGACAAAAAAGAAATTGGCTTCAATTTTAATATTTTAATACACTCATAAGAGGAATAGCTGAAATATGAGCAGAAATACCACTGTATTTTATGTGGAACTTCCACAAAATCGCCAAAATGAAATGTAAACAGGCTGTCTTCCATTGGTTACCAAAAAAATGACAGCAGACAACTAAAGAATGATCAACAGTGTTTGAGATACGAGGATTTACTCAAAGAAGACACTTGAGATTTTCTGGAATGATAAGGTAAGGACATTAAAGAAATAGGAAGTGACAGTCTCTTCAGCAAAGGTGTTCCTAGGACACAGAAAGGTTAATTTAAAACTGCTGAGAGGCTGAGTGAAAGAGAAATTCTTGCTCAGAAATGTAAATTATTTACTTTAATCCAAAGGTTTTTACCCTTTGAATTTAACAAAATACAAAGAAATGTGTGTCTTGTTAGGGGTGGGTGGTTGGTTGGGGATTTTTTGCATTGATGTTATTTTTCTCTTTGTAATAAAACTTACTTTACTTAGAAGATATTGGTGTCCTGAAATTTGCTTTTGAAATTTTTTGGCAGATTGTACCATTAGGGTTAGGTTTATTAGGATTTTTATTCAAGTTGGAGGAGCAAGAAACTCTCCAAACTCAAGCTAGCTCTGTCCTGTTTTTAAGGAAGAGCAGTTTGAACACAACACTGAAGATACTTGGCCATAGTCAGATATGTCGTATTTTCTGGTTTTTTTTCTAATCACGTGACTGTCTTTGAGGAGCTGAGCCAGCTGGAATTAAAACATGAGACAGAAAGGTCAAGAAATCGATCTGTCAAGCAAACAATCTTAGATACAGCTCAGTCACCATAGTTAGTCAAAATCACAGAGGCAAACACATTTTAAAAAGCAAGGTTAGAAACATAAACTAGGAGTGTCATTGCCTGGTACATACCTACAGGCTTAATCTTCTTCCACTTTCTTGTGAATACACACAGCTGTAGAGAGAAAAGTGAGCAAGCTAATTCTAAAGCCAGGAAGCAAATGTTCAATTGAGTGGTTTTCTTTATACAGCTAACATGTTCAACAGCACAATACAAGAGAAATATTTTAATGAAATTAAATGCGAGAATCTTATAACTACATATATTTCACAATGTATAGGGAAACTATCGACATACAGAAATGTTTTGTTTCTTTAGATCACCCTGGTCTGACCAGTTCAACCCAAATAGAAAAATTCCAGGAGAAGGCCCAGATGGAATTGCAGGACTATGTACAAAAAACCTATCCAGAAGATACTTATAGGTATTTATTGTCTATAGTACCCAAAGTAATGTTGTGGGCCGTAGCTGGCAAAAGTACAAAATAACATAATTGATGTAAAAATTTCCTTTTTTGACATCTGTTCTTTTTTGACTATTGATGAGAAAGAACTAGAACCTCATTTATAAAAGCAAGCAGGTTTGTTTAAAGATAGGTAGAAGCAAGAATAGCTGTCTAGCTTCTTCCGTGTAAATTAAGCTTGAGTACTTTTTTTTTTTGAGGGTCTCGTTGCCATGTCTACAAAGGTAAACAGACTTACTATATTAGAAGTCTCAAGAATAACTGCCTCAACTGCCTCAAACTTACTTAATTCAAACTGCCTCCTTTTTCAAGTTAGTTGTCAAAGAGGCTTTGAGATAATAAAAGGTGATTGTCATCTTTTAAATGTTTGTCAAGTTACATGTGCAGAAAAGTATTAAAAGTGTCAGTTTATAAACCTTGGAAAAATAAGGATTACATGTGGGGAACAGTAACAAACTCTTAAGCTTCTGTTTATAAGAAGTTCCCATGTCTCATTTTCTCCTTTTTTTTTTTTTTTAAATTTCCAAGGGCTTGACTTTGAAAGTGTCTAACTTGTTTTTTCACCTCTCAACTGTTCCTGTTTCTTACTTGCTAGAAATAATTATCCTATTTTCTAATAATCTCCATCAAAACTATTTTAAATTTCAACTCAATGATTCTCTGCACTGCAAGGGAAATTCTAACTTCTGTCTAGCAATATATCCTACAACATATTCTCTTATACTGTGAAAGGTATCCCCATGTAAAGAAGCATGCAATCCCATGCATTTAAGCAAGGTCTGAGGGTAGTGTAACTTAAAAAAAAAGGCCTGTAAAAGAGAGAGCTTCTCCCATCTCAGAATCTGGTTTCTGCACTGATCTTACAGAGTTAACATTGTGTGGGGCAACAGAAAGGGCATGCCACTTAGATGCAGTGAAAATGGGATTCTCTTCTTCAGAAATATCCTCAAATCCCACATTATTCTTCTGTGTACAGTTCAGTTATTCTGTTTTGATGTGTGAGAGCTGGATATCTGCCATAAAAAGAAATATAGAATTTGTTCCATATACTTACTTCTCTTAAGAGTGGCTTGAGGAAGAAAATCAGTGTGTTACATTTCCCAATGTCCTGTATTTTAATTGATATTCTGTATATCCCCATGCTCAGTCATAGATCAAGTTTAGAGTACAAATCTGATTATTTCTGAGCAACTGAATACTGGCACAAATTGAGATAAAAGCAGAAATGTTACAATTTTCACAAAAACAGCAGCATGACTTGAATCTTTTTGCATTTTTTCCCTGAAGTTTACAAGATGTGGTATATTAGCAGAATGGACCTTATATATTTTCTCCATAGATATTCAAGCGTTTTCCAGAGACCTGTGTTCAGTGCTGCCAAAGGTTTGCTATTACATGGCTCTGGTTCAGGAAATAAATTTATTTTGGCATTTGTGATGTACATCTGCCATACAAGCACAGCAGATATGCTTTCATCACTGTCCTAAATTTCAAATACATTTAAAGTCAGAAATTTAATACAATCACTTCATTGTATTGGATGTCTGTTAACATCCTGGTACATAAAATACCACAGAATTTGGCAATATGTATGAGTAACAGCACATCCCTCCAAATTCCTTTTCTCATCAGAAGCAGATTCTCTTATCCTTTCATACATACCCAGTCCCATTCTTGCTATCTGGTTTGTCATTAAGTTGCTAGGCAACTGAGGACTATGCTGTTTATGGTTTAAATTTTAATTAAGCATTTTACTCTTAAAATTGTGCAGTAGTCAGTATGAATATTATTAGTCTCAGCATTGTCCTGAACTATTAAGTGCTTCCAGAGCTGGGAATTTCAAAAGCAGACCAGGAGAATTGTGTGTTTGTACATACACGCATTGTGTCTACAAAGGGCGTTAATATGTCCTTTTCAGTGGAAAAGCACAAAGAAAGATGGTAGCTTTTCATTTCACTTGCAGGATAGAAAAATAAGTAACCATTTTTTTTATGGTAGCTCAGTTAGCTTTAATCGCCTCTTTACTCCCATTCAGGAGTTACGGTAATAATAAAAGCAGATCCAGCTTTTTTACCCACAAAGTATTTTGAACTGGTATTGTACGTGTTTATAATCCACTGAACTTCTTTTTCAGGCTAGCCCGGATTCTAGTTCGCCTGCCAGCACTTAGGCTGATGAGCTCTAGCATTACTGAGGAACTATTTTTTACTGGTCTCATTGGAAATGTTCCCATTGACAGCATAATTCCCTACATTCTCAAAATGGAAACAGCAGAATATAATGGTCAAATAACTGGCGTGTCTGCATAGTGGGAACAATACAATTTGATGGATCAAAGTAACTTTCATAAAAACATACAATTACAAAGTTAAAAGAATAGCATTTTGGTATGTACAAATATTTCCAACTTGTTACCAGTTTCCTGTCAGATTTCTCCTTGTCTGTTTGCTGATGTTGACAACATTTAAGCAGCTATTAAAAGACCTGCTATAGGACCTTTTCTGCCACAAGGAATATTTTTGATGCCTTTCATTTAAAAGGCTATAGATTACTGAACATACTTTTCACATGCTTTGTATTTAGAAATTATCAGTGGTTAAAAATAGAGTTTTATAATATCAGAGATTAGTAATAAAATTACTTTAAAAGTAAAAAGAACTGTATGTATATATTTAAAAATAGCCTTGGAATTAATATCTAATAAATGCCAAGGTATAATACTAGCACTTTGTAAGCACTTCTTGTCAAAGCGACAATGTCATCTATATCCTGCTTATGAGTATGGAAAATGAAAAAAATGCATATGTCCCCGGTCAAAATGCTAGTGATTTCTGTGAAAATGTAGAATGCTACAGGAGACAATCATTTATTCTACAACAAGTCACTTGCTCTTGTGTTATGCATGAAATATTAATGTGGATTCTTAAATCGGATATCCACATTATATGAAACTGTGTTAAATTAGCGCAGATGTAATTTACACTATGATGCAGTCATAGTGACTATAATGTGCTACAGGAATTACCCAAACTAGGAGAAAAAATGTGTTTCTTGCCAGAGTAATGATGAAATATTCAGGTTCGTTAAAGTTTCTATTCAGACCAATATAGTCATGACAAATGTTATTCTAATAGGAAGCCTTTTGATTATGTGGAAAATCAGTCATTAACTGGAAGAACTGTCATCTTCAAGTAGAGCTGTGTGATGCACTCTGAGTATGCTCTTTGTACTTCCAAATTTACTCCTCTCTACTCCTAAACACCCTCTTCGTCCAGCCAAAGGTACAATTTAAACCCTGAAATGTGTAGAACCTCTGGCTATCAGCAAGAGTATATTACAAAGATCTCTTACTGTATTTCTGCTCCCCTCCCTCCTTCCACTTCCCTGACTGAGCACTTCCAGTTTTGCAGTGCTCTCAACCTTCCTATTGACTGAGTTTGAAACTGAAATATAGTTAATGCAGTTAATGACTGATATACCGTGGACTTATAAAATTTACTATTTTTAATTGTCTAGAGTGATGAGCCATCAACATGTTTTCTAGTATTGGCCATTAGGCGCTAGCATTGCTTTCATTTTAGTATAATTTATTATTATTGAGATTAAATATTTTAAACAATAAGAATTTAAACAAAAAGTCATAGCAATTAATACCTTCATCTGATCCTGGCTCATTAGATACATCAATTATTTCAATTATTTGTATGGTAGAGGCATTTTCTACTTGTGTATTTTTACATGGCAAAAATCTAATGATAAGTTCAGCACTTCTGTTTTTCTTCTGTTATTGACATTTATTTAGAAACGCCAACCAGGTTGGTGTTTGTGTCTTTTAAAGGTCTGAATTGTAGCTGAAAGACCTTAAGCAGCTCTAGATGAGGCTACTGAAGTAATAAAAAGTCCTGACCTGGTATACTTCATTCTCATTAGGAGGCTCATGTTTGTAGCACTCATTGTGACATGGAAGGCTATTTAATTTTATCTTCTGGATGCATTAAAATCTTCTACAGTTATCATTGTTACAGCATTCAGAATCTTCTTTTCTCAAAAGGGTGTTACAAAGAGTCCAATATACATGCAGAGATTTGTAATACTGAACTTTCATTTCTCTCAGCTTTTGCTACAGCAAATGAAATTGTTGTACTTTTAATGTGATGGAAGTTCTGCACTCTGAATGTTAAGTCAACTATAACACAGAATTTTGTATGAGCTGTTTTATTGCAGTGTGACTTCTTGTGTGATTGTGTCAACAATTCGATGCAAAGTCCCTGTTTTAAGGGTATACAACTTAAAAATTAATTGTGATATTAACAACATCAGAAGAAGTAGGTAACTTGGAAAGAGTTGTGGCCATTTTTGTTAAAACTTAAAATTTGATTGGATTATGTCATTGTTCTAAAAGCAGTATGCATTGAATTATTGTGATATTTTTCATTGTAAAAAAAGATTATGCAGTTTAATTTGCTTTCAGTATTTTGTAAAAATCATGTAAGCAGATAAGTAAGCATTGTTAATGACAAACGAAATATTCCTTAGCACAAAAACTAGCCATTGGATCTTTTTTTTCCAAATTTGAATACACACCAGCTGGCTTTTTCATGACAAACATCATTTCAAGTTCCAATTTTTCAAGTAAAAGGGCCCCATTTTCTGTGCAAAAATCTGTTTTCCTAATTTTTCTTGCTTGTGCTGTGAGCATAACAGTTCAGGAAACAAAATAAAACCACTCCAGTTTTTTGGGAGCAGAGGGATCATGTTAAATAAAACTTAAAATGCATGCATTGTGTTACATTTGTAAATCAAAATGGTAAATATCATGCAGCTCTGTTTACAAATAATCTATACTCCCTACAAATGCAAGGCCACATAATGATATCCTTGATCCATCTCTGGTAGTCACTTATTCTGCAAATAGTTCCCTGGACATTAGGGATAAAATATTAATTTGTGTAAATGAAGTAACAACAATGCAATCCATATCCAGGGTTGGTTTATTGTGCATGCATTTAATAGATGAAATGAAGCAGTTCCATACTTAAGATCCTGATATTACCACCTAAAACCTATAAAACTGTCTCTTTGTATATCAGCAGCAGCATGATTTGCTGGCTTGCGTGAGTCAGAACCAAGCTAATTTAGTCCTTATGCCATTAACAAAAAGTACTTTCACTAACGCTATTTTGATTCCAAGACTAACAGTTTGAATTGTAGGAATTTGGACAGCAGATGATAGATCCTACAGCTCAGAATGTAAAATGTTTTGCATATTTGAATATTAGCTATAAATAATAAGATAGATGTGATGAATAACGTAACATTTCTTTCTCAAATGCTGCTCAAGGGCTGTCATAAAAATAAGCCAAAAATTTGGCATATGATGGAGAGACACTGAAAGGAATCACTTAAAACCCTGCCATATAAAACTATAAACCATCTTCTCCAGTGCAGCAGGGCTCTTTTGTGCTAAATTTCAAGTGTAATCACAGAATCACAGACTGGTTGAGGTTGGAAGGGACCTGTGGAGGTCATCTGGTCCAACCCCCCTGCTCAGGCAGGGCCACCTAGAGCCAGTTGCCCAGGACCATGTCCAGGTGACTTTTGAATACCGCCAAGGATGGAGACTCCTCAACCTCCCTGGGCAACTTGTGCCAGTGCTCAGAGTGAAAAAGTGTTTTCTGATGTTCGAGGGAACGTCCTGTGTTTCAGTTTGTGCCCATTGCCTCTGGTCCTGTCCCTGGGCACCACTGGCTCCATCTTCTTTGTACCTTCCCCTCAGGTACACATTTATACACATTGATGAGATCTCCCCTGAGCCTTCTCTTCTCCAGGCTGAACAGTCCCAGCTCTCTCAGCCTTTCCTCACAGGAGAGGTGCTCCAGTCCCTTCATCATCTTTGTGGCCCTTTGATGGGCTCTTTCTGAGGTTTCCGTGTCTCTTTGGACACTACTCCCACTGTGGCCTCACCAGTGCTGAGCAGAGGGGAACAATCACCTCCCTTGACCTGCTGACAATACTTTGTCTAAAGTGGCTGAGGATACCATTACCCCTCCTTGCAGCAAGGGTGCATTGGTGGCTCATGTTCAACCTGGTATGCACCAGGACCCCCAGGTTCTTTTCTGCCAAGCTGCTTTCCAGCTGGGTGGCCCCCAGCATATATTGGTGCCTGGGGTTGTTCCTCCCCGGGGGCAAGGCTTTGTACTTCTTCCCCTTTTTGAACTTCATGAGGTTCCTGTCGACCCATTTCTCCAGCCTGTCAAGGTACCTCTCAACAGCAGTACAACCCTCTGGGTGTATCAAGCAGTGAAGCTGCCAATCTGTCAGTGACCTATATGTAATCTAGCAGTGAAGCTATTTTAGCTTATTCGAAGAAATCTTTTTTTTTTCCTTGTATGTAGATGAATAGAAATATTGAACATCAATCTATCAATAGACAGATGTTCAAGAGGCACAGAACTGATGGATTCTTTCTGCCAACAGTTTAGGTGTTGCTTGGTAGCAATAGAAAAAGGCACATCTAAGGAAAATGGGCCTCACAAAGTTTTTTTTGCTCTATGTTAACCTTTGATGTTATTTTCAGCCTGTTCTGGTGATTGGGCTTTCAGGCCACTCTAAGATAATGAAGGTAGACCAATGTACACAGTATAGCTGCAGACTCAAGCAAGTTTTAAACTATCTCTGCAGAAAATATTACAATGCTGTTATGTAGTTCTTGTCATTTCTGAGGTTTGTTTCATCCCCCCTGCCAATAAGTGGAAGATGTTAACAGGTTATTCTTACTCTCTTTACTTTTAAATTAGTTTCATTTTGTTTCTTCTTTGCAAGTGCAAACTTTTGATTCTGAATATGGGACAGGAGAGGTTTTTTTAATTATTGTAACAATTATTGAAAAACTATTTATTGATTTTAAGTATGGAAATAGCTTGTTTTCATAAAGGCCAAACTTGTTTTTACAGAACTAGGAGTCAACAGATCACAGTCTGAAAGTGATTCTAAGAAAAGTGACATCTCACTGAAGGTCTACTTAGTGCCTAAAATTCACTCTCTCCAGAATTTTCGATGTCCTGTTTCTGTTGCTCTGGAAATGAAAATATTTTAACTTGGTAGAAATATAGTGATAAACTATCTTATTAGATCTATCTTGAGTACATATGTATATTGGTAATAATTCATGCAGACAAATGTTAGAATTCTGTGCTGACTGAAACTGGGGCATGCAGGGAGTGATAATGAGACAATAATGTCCATTCTCCATGTGCTTCATTTGTTTTCCAACTCCTCTGAGAAGGAACTGGATTTTAATCTTGTAGAATGATCAATAACTGTGTAGGAGAATTTTGGGTTAGCTTTGTAATAATGATT